TACAAATCTTTTCCCCCCACCCTTGTAGCTTAGCAAGAAAGATGTAGACATGAAGGCACGTGTGTGACTGAAACTTGCTGCACAGGTTGTTGTCTCCACATGGTGTAACCCATGATAGCTGTTGTATGAGAAAAACACACATGCACATTCAATATTATCCTGAGATCACTGTACTTTCACATCACATCATTGCAGCCACACAGCACGGTGATATTTCAAAATAAGCACACTCCTTTTTTTGTGAGGCATTCCCTAGGTGTTGCTCCACAGCTGTGCTACATGTGTTCTGGAAATTTCTGTTCTGTGCATTATGATAGTGGAATTCAAGGGCTTTGAATCAAGTGAGACAATTCCTCTTACTTCAGCCAATTCCTCATTTGGTTTCTGTGAGCCAGTCAATCAAATTTACACAATCATCAGCACAGAGGAAACATTGACTGTGTGATCTTCGAAGTGATGACTATTGCTATTAATGTCTAGATATGGCGTTGATATTTACAACCCCTCCTAAAATAAGCACATAATTACACTCTAAAATGGTGAAATATGCATGTAAAATATGCCTGATAAACTTCAATATGTTATCTTCAAAACTTATAGAAAATATAAACCCCATATCATTAAATATAGTTTTCACTTTTCAGTTTTCAATTATCCATGTAAAAATATTACTCACAACACACTTGTGTGCATTTTAGAATATGCCTGTGCTGATGTTGTGTCCCTTTACTTGCTTAAATAATAATTAGGGGTGCACCGATAGAGATTTTGGGGGCCTATACTAATAGCTGATTTTTAAGGAGGCATATCGGCCAGTACAATCTGATTTCCGATATATTTGTGTGCAGCTGGTAAATCCGTTGTGGTGGAAGGGGTGGGGGAAGGGAAGGGGCATGGGGGGGCAGATTAAGGGAGGGAGTGGGGCAGGGGCTGGGGTAGGCACTGCCCAGCTGGGGCAGGGTGGGTGCGGGATGGAGCCGCAGCTCGTCCAGGGGGCACAGGGAAGGAGGAGTTGGGGGGGGGTGGCTCCCGCTGCTGCATGCCACTCATCCAGGAGCCGCTCATCTGGCAGCTCCTGCTGCTGCTCCCACTGCTCATCCTAATCAGACCTGTGATAAAACTGACATCTGATTTTAGTCTCTATGTGGAGTAGAGCTGAATTTTTTTCTTTAACCTCCTTGATTTAGTCAAAGGACTATTTTATCTTTCCCCAATACCACTAAGAATCTGGAAACTATGTCAAGATAATTTCTCCATACAGTCAGTTCATCTAGAACACACCAATTTAAGCAGTATTTTTTTCCCCAAGAAACCACAAAAAGCTGGTTTAACTTAGGGCTGTCCAGCTGGTGGCCCATGATGGGTTTACCCGGGTACCACTTCCCCCACATCACTCTGGCTGGAACAGCCACCTCGCTCCCAGAGCCTCCACTTCCTGCCCCCTCCCAGGGAGGAGCACAGTATGGTGATGGGGGAGCCCACAGCTTGGTGAGCTGAAGGTGGTGGCTGGGGTGTCCATATGAATGGTTTTAAGTGGGGTGGGGGCCAGCTTCACATGCAGCAGGGGAGGAAGGCCACTTGTGGCCTGCATAATGTGCAACTGCTGGTCACTTAGAAATTGGACAGCCCAGATTTAACCTATTTCAAAGAATGCTGCTGTATACCAGGAGGTCAGCAGCAGCTAAATGATTAGGCTCTGCAGAAGTGGATTTATCTGAGAAGGTTAGACTATAGATTTGTATAGGATGGTTTGGATAGGGATGATCCTGTTTTGGGCAGGGGTTTGGACTAGATGACCTATGGAGGTTTCTGCCAGTCTTACTTCTCTCATGATTCTGTAAGACAGTGGTCTCCAACCTTTTAAAGTAGATCGGCTTTGGCATTTAAAAGCAACCCAAGATCTACTGTGCACCGTTGTCACTCCCCCCACCCAGCAGGTAAATCTGTGGGGAGGGAAGGAGGGGGCAGATTGAGAAAAAAATATTTGGGGGCACGCCTCCCTGGCAGGTAAGTCCCACCCAGCCAGGGCCCCACCCTGCTCCTGCCTCTGCGGCACTGTCCCTCACTGCGGGGGCTTCAATTTAGCCCCTGTCCCTTCCCTCCCCCATGGACTGACCTGCTGGGCTAGGGCACGCGCGTACATGCACACAGGCACTCAGCAGCACCCCACCTCAGCCTTGGATCGACTCCAAGAGGCTCCGAGATCTACTGGTGAATTAAGATCCACTGGTTGGTGACCACTGCTGTAAGAGTTGAAGTGCTTTGAACCATTTGACTGTTAAGCAAAAAAAATGGTATTAGTTTCCATGAGTTCCTGGATCTGGCATTATTTTCTGCTTCTCTCACTAGTAACAAAATAATTTTGTGGACTGTGAAGTCAACATCAGCTACAATCCACTGTCATAATAGTTCACTCTTACTAGATTTCCCTTTTGGCAGTATTGATAATAAAGAGCTAGCACCAGATGGAAGCTCTCAAATCACCTTATATAAATAAAAACAAAAATCTCACCCCATTGACTGATGTGTGATGTAAGGTGTACAACAGGCTACACAAACTTATACAATAAACATTCCTTTGGGCCTGGTGGCATGAGAGAGACGTAAGGGAGAAGAGTAGCCTGAAAGCTCCAAGAGGATGGAAACTTAGAGGGGGATCTGAGTGGAAAGGATCAATGGGAAAGCCTAACAGGCTTAATCTGCATTACATATTGCCCAATATTTGGGGACTTTTCAACTAAAAATGACCTATAGTAAAATTTTGGGGGAAATTGCATTTAAGAAGTGGATATAATGAAGTGTAAAGTTTGTTTTTTCTTTTGAAAACATTTGAAAAATAATATATTTTCCTCCAAAATGCAAATACGGTTTTTATGCATTAGCACCATCAGTACGCACTAGCCACTATGCAGGAAGCAGAAAGCAGAGCAGCGGAGCAGGCGGGGGAGAGGCATCAGAGTAGCACTAGGGGAAGGTGTGGCGCTAATTTCTGGCACACCTGCCAAAAGGTTGGCCCTTGCCAGACTCGATGACTTCCTGACGTCCTTTCCAGCCCTATTTTCTATGATTTTCACTCACTTCCACTTCCCTCTGACAGCTCGCCACTCCTACTCAGTTGATTTCCTGTCCTCCACTCTGAATTCCTTCTCTCCTCTTTCCTGCTACAATTCCTGCCCCTCCAACCCTCATCCCTCTGCTGTTCTGCTACCGGAAAGCTTTAGAGACAGGCCTGCGAGCTTGTTTCACTAGATTCATTCTCTTCAGTGCTGCCATTTTTCTCTCCTGTCTTTTAATTCTTTTAAAGCATGTCCTCTAGTAGTAACAGTCCATTGAAGCATTATAGTAAGGACTAGAAGTGGGGGTGCATTTTACTTTCTGCTATGGCTGTCTGTTGAAAACGGAGTTAAAACTTTGCCAAGTTCAGGTGTTATCTGCACGGGGGCTTTTGATTTCTGGGACAGATGATGTCACAGCAGGAAATAATTCCCCCTCTTCCCTGTCCCCTGGGTGTAAAAAACCCACCAACACGTCAATATTAGGTCGGGCAAACATGTTCTGACTTCACGGCTCTTAACTCTCCAGAAGGCTGGTGCCATTTTCTCTCTAGAGGCGAGGCGCGCGCAGGCGCCGCCTCGAGGAGCTTGCCCCGGGCAGAGGACGCGCTCCTCGGGCTGACGGCGCGGCG